GGAGGAGGGCATGCGGTTGAATGTAGAGTTGTCGGCCGTGTCATCTTCTGAATCGGTAGGTATGTAGGGAGATAGGATACGAAAAGGGGTGGCGGCTGTGGAGGGATGGGTGGTTGCTGAAAACGGTTTTCAGGCGGGACGAAAGTTGGTAGCTTGGGTAGTGGAAACGGACGAGGGTCGGAGCTGGTCATGGGTCGTTGTGGATACGAGCTTCTTCCAGGCACGTGGTGTGTATGGCTTGATGTGCTTTTTAAAGGTTGTTAAGGTGAGGCTACGCATGGATTTGGAGGATTCAGAGGAGGTAGACTCTGAAAGTGGATCCCAGGCAGGTGGAGAGTGGGAAGTCGTGGATTTTGCACAGGCAGGGGCGTTACAATACCAGACTTTGATGGTAGGTGTTTGAGCCCGAGGACGCGCTTTGGTGAGATAGGGCGAAGTGTCATTGGGCCGGGGGTCTGGAGCGGGGGACTATGTTTTCATCTTCCATTGTAGCACCGTATAAAGGGTGGTGAGGTACTGCATCCGACATCGCAGGGGTGAATTTTTTCGGTGCAGTTGAGGTCAGAGGAGACACAGGCCTTTGTCCAAAGGTAGAAGTGGAGGGCCCATGGTCATGAAAAAGAGATGCAGGGCTGGAGGCCGTCGTGAGGGTTTGTGTGGCATTTGGCCGCAAGTTAACATAACGGTATGGCGGGCTTAGGCGAGGAGCGATTCCAGGATAATGGGAGTAAGGGAAGGGGTCTGTGCTGCAGCTTCGAGCTTTAGAGGATAAGGCTTCAGCTCCGGCATTTGGAGGGCTGGCTGCAATTCCGATCGGTTTAGGACAGGCTACACTGATGTCGGGTGCGAGGGTGTCCAACGGAACTGGAGGGGGTTGTAAAGCAGGCCGGACCAGTCGACAGGTTAGTCGTTGGTTGAATCTGGTGTTCTCCGACAGCTATGTGCAGATTTGTCATCGGTGATACGACTTGCGGAGTTTTCCGAGGGGTCGGTTTCATGTGTAGTCTGCGACTGAGTCGCATCGGGAGCGTTTAGTGGTACGGATTGTTGAATGGAATATGGATTCGTTTGATGTTTATCAGTAGTCGGCTGTAGAAGTTTGGAGAGTGGGTTTCTTGTGAGCTGTCTTCGTAGTCCGGTGCGAGTAGCCTTGACCATTAAGGTCTGGAATGTCTGTATCGAGGAGAGAGGGGTCTGAGATGTTAACAGGAGCGTTGCATCGTCTTCATCTCTGAATTGCATTAGCATTGGGCAACGCAAGGTGGTTTTCGATTTTCGCAACCGTCGGGCTGTACAGACTGTCATGCAGGTCACAGGCTGTCAAGATGACGGCTTTTGTGCTTTCTATCGGGATGCTGTGGCGGACATTATGTAGTAAAACCTGTTTACGGCATTCCATACGCCGACCAATCTCCGAGGCGAGCATGTCAATAAAGACCGACGTTTTTGCAAGATCTGATAGATCACACATTGCATCAGGAGTTAGAAGTCAGGCAAGTGGTTGCATGATACGATAGGATATCAGTTAATTCTCCATCTTATGCACACGAACACTGAGATTTGTCAGGTCGATGTGGAGCTGAGATTCTTTTGGTGAAGAGGAGGGAAGACTGCTACCGGGTGCAGCAGGAAGGGAAATGTCAGTTAGTACAACTGAGCAGGTTGAATTTAACTGGGGCAATCTATCGATCGGTCTTGAAGGATGATGGGGTTTAGTGTTATGCCTTTTTCCCGAAAGGCGCTTCTTTGGGGAAGGATGATGGGGAATCAGGGTCTAGCAGGCGCTTAGAGGAAGATGGAACTGGTGAAATTGTTTGATTCACATCGGGTAATAGTAAGCCTCAGTGGGATAATGCTAGCAAGCTTATACTCAGTGGGGCCTTATCAAGCTAGGAAGAGTTGGAGGGGTGGTTGGGTGCACAAGTCGTGTGTGCTACTGTCGGATAAATAGTGCGAGGCTCAAAAAGCATAAGGCTTGCAGAAGTTAATGATAATGATAATGTTTATTCCCAACTTGTGGGTGGCATGCCGTCTGGCATGATCATGCGTATACAGTCAGAATGGGGCATGACTGAGGGAGTTGCGGCTAGTGGTGACTGCGCAAAAAGGGGACAATGTCACAAACAGTGGGAGGTACTCGATTAAATAATAATAATATGTTTCTTTTGCAACCTGTAGGGAACAATAGGCATGAGGTCCGAGTAATTCAGTGACTCAGTTGGCTGACATGAACTAAAACTGGAAAACCATTGCTGGCCATGAGTGTCCTTGGGCGATTGAGTAAATGGCCGGCGTCATAACAAGCAAAAGCGGAGGTGGAGACGGGATAATTCGAATTGGGAGAACACGGCAAGTTTGGTCTCACAAATATGGTGCAATTTGAGAACAATCAGACTCACTGGTTGCTCTGTTGCTGGGACGTCAGGTGAAGGGGTTAGGTTGGATGGGGACACAGAGGTGGTTGAATTTGAACGAGTAGTCCAATAGGTTGGAATGAATGTCATGGTGGTCGTTGGGGTCAATGAAACGAATAGGCAATAGGGCACGGTTGAGAGGAGGAATGGAACAGTTGCTGGACAGTTGATGGACCAAGTAAGTGTATTCCCAAACAGAAGAGTCTTCCGTTATAAATAACAGTGTGCCAGGAAGACCATGTCATCGACAAAGCGGTCAGCTGAATGAACTTGGCTGACGCACTTGGCTGACATCCGGCTAGGGTCACACGGTACCTAAGCAGCTGGTCAAATTGCGCCTATCCATCTCTACCAAGGATAAGGTCCAACTCAACACGGAAATTTGAATTGTATTGGTCGTTTTGATTAGTACATAAGTCCTGCCGTGAAGCGTAATTCCCTTTTTTACAGCATCTTCCAAGCAAACCTTATGGTGGAATATGTGCTGACTGTTCGCAGATTGTCCGTGACAAAAGGTACATGGATGATGTATGATATATACGTGCTTCCCGGTAGCTTTCCTAAAATGGAAGCAGCATGAGATGACGTCTCGGCCAAATGTTAACCTTGCTGCCCGCCTCTGCGCCGCTAAAATGTCCATGAAAAACGTCTTCATCAGATAATGCTGGCCTATTCTTTGGATAACCCGAAGACTTTACGCATGGTAGAAAAGTTTTCGCTCTCCGCGAAGGTATACACAACTGGACGCCCAGTACCCATCATAACGGGCGAACGGTATCTTCGAGTGATACGTAATACCAGAACTCCGGAAAGGCAAAACAAAGTCGGAGCTGGGTTTCTACACGGTACTGTTAATCTAAGACGAATTCACGAAGTATACAAACCTCGGCAGTAAATACTCGTCCAAAACAACTGGTCCCCTTGGACTACAACAGTACAAAATAAGGGAGCAAACAGGTTCCCACGTGCGGCAGTCACACGTGCGAAGTCGGCTACAAATGCCCGGATGACATTAAGGCCAAATAGGTGAAGTGTTAAGGACAAACAAACGTCAGTTCATATACACACACTTAACAAAAATTAAGGCGGGGGTTACAAATAGGGACAGAATAAATGTGGGGCATTTCAATCGTCAACGTACTGGGTGATACACCCATGCCATCCGTGATCAGGAAGGTGTAGAAAGTGCGTCTGTAGGCCAGATGTTAGGTGCTTTTAAAAATTACTCAAAACGGTTTGTGTATTGTGCGTTCCACCGACATATAATACATCTTGGAGGCGCCGAAAAAACGCTATCTGCTGCCATGTGAATAAGCATTTGTAGCCAAACCGACCTTTCCCTGACTGCAGCGCAAGCATGATTCCGGTCTTTCGAATTTTCGTCCGGACTAAGGGCATATCATCTGTTACAATACAACCCAAATGTCTGCCGCCTATTCAACAGAACTGGTCAACAATTCCGGCGGTAGTTGTACAAACATTGAGTTGCAAGGGTCTTGCAGAATTCATCGGCCAAAAACTGTAGGACTTCACACGACGGCGTTCCATACTTCAGCAGGGGCCTGCTAGTTTCTCAACTCTTTCTCGGCCAGCTGTTGATTTACCAAGCCGATCGTAAAAACTTAGAAACATTATGGTTGTATTCAAGATAATAAGAGGTCACCGGAAGATGGTTTCCTCGCTTCCTTAGACGAAAACGCACTGGACAGCCAATGCTCCGCCCACTGTTCATCATTAAGGAACACGCCCAGCTTGCTAGCTTTTTGGGATTCCCCTTCTTTGCGTTTGTCATGAAGGGCGTCTGCGGCCTTTGTAATAAACTGATTCGTAAGGCAAAGCGGAGGTGGTTCTTTGACCACTTGAACGCACAAATATCGAATAGTTTTCCTTCAGGTATTCATTTAGAGCCTTCTCGAACCCTTTGAAGGGCGAGAAGGATACAACCCACAGCTTCTCAAGTGTGATGTGAAGCAACTTCTGGATAGCGCAGTCTCGAACCCTTTGAAGGGCGAGAAGGATACAACCCACAGCTTCTCAAGAAACATGTGAAGCAACTTCTGAAGCGATAGCGCAGTATACATGTAATAGGAGCACAAGGGGACAGTGATTTCCTAAAGGTATGGGTTCCAAACAAGCGCCGAAATTTAGAAGGCTGGTTAACTAAAACCGGTACCGATGAAATAAGCGGATGATTGGGTGATATTTGGTTTACGCACATATGCAACCAAATGCAACCCCTTTGCGTGAAACGTTTCATTTCACTCGCAAAGGTTTCGTTGATAAAATTACGGTGCGTCTAAGGTGCGGCTCTGACATAGGCCCCACAGAGAACCTGAAAGTCCGCAAGAGGGGAAGTGTGCGTACCATTTGTAGTATATGGTATCTGTCGGTTCGAATGATTTATATGCAAATATTTGTGGCGTACAACCTTGCTTACTTGGCTTCGGCTCATGAGCGGTATGTTTGTTTTCCATCCACAAAAATTGTCGTTAACACCTGCTTTCTGAGAATCATTGTCCCCAGGTACCTCCATAGCGTGTATGCAACACATTGTGGGAGCGACAAACACCTTTTGGGCCAAGCTTTTTATACGGAGCAAGACAACAGCCAGACGCCCGTGTATTTTGCTGTAGTTAGCCTTGTATTATCTTCTGGACCATCTTGCCTACACGACAGAGGCGGTTTATGAGTGTCTCCTAGACAACATACGGGCACACCTTTCGACGGCAAATAGAGTTTGATCCTACTACCAGCCCAATGTTACTAATTAACTCAAATTACAAGGATTTTAATATCAGGAACCTCATTTCGCACCAAACTTGTATGATTCTCGAGAAGATGGCTAGTAGTTCAACCGATAATACCACCTGCTCGGTCAACACCGATGTCCTGCTGGCCAAAAGTATTGCACGGGAACTGACAATAATGTCGTATTTATCTGCGGAGTTCTGAAGTCCCGAGACTGGTAGAAACACTTAACCAAGGAGACATATCCAGGGGCTACTTAGACTGCAAAGTGCAGTCACTACTTAAGTCACCCCTATTCTCACCTCCGGAAGCCACATTAGCGATGGACTGCGCAACCCCATGACCTTGCTGACCTCCAGTCATATTTTTGGTCATGTACTGTGTGCTGATTCAACATCCGGCTGCATTCATCCGCGGCATCTAGAGCTTCGAACACCATTTGGAACAATTCAAAACAAGTACTCGGCACTAATATGGCTCGAAGCGCGTTTAGTCCATAACCCAAGGCAATCCATGCATAACCCAATAAAATATAAGACAGCCAACATCCAAACAAAACCCCAAACTACCTGATTGAGATTGGCGGGTGCCTGGATTGTAACGGAAGAACTATAAGCTATTTCCAAAGGACGAGAAAATGTCTTACAGAACGGGATATCGCCCGATGTTAATGCGAATAAACCTCTAGTGATATCCCATGGCGTAGGTATGAAGGCATTCGCAACAACTGCACCCCTCGAATCCGAGGTGGGATAGGAAATGACATGCGTCACCGGTAGCGAAACTCATGGTAAATTGTGTTATCCAAAATAAGCACCACAATGCTGCACACTGCACTACAAAACACCAAGGGTCCTCTGCGTACTCTGAAGAAGGCAGCCTATCTTGCACCACTTGCCACACTTTTGTCATCGTTGGCATGCTGCTCCGGCCAATGCGGCATATCAAAAGGCATGGAAGCTTCAAACAGCCTCTGAAAAAGATAAAGGATAATTTTCATAGTTGCATTTGTGGCGTTGTGGCGACATTTCACACATGTTTGAGCAACAAACCACGTGATGCAGAGCTAAAAGCACTTGACTATGATTGGTTCAGATTTCCACTAACGAGCTCTTAAACTCTTTGGTCCGCAGCCGGCTCGCTGAACGTCTGGTCAAAAGACGTGGTGTTCCGTTAGTTACTGCCGCTTGTCCTCGGACATCACCAACTCACCCGCTGTTGTTACACCTGGATCAACCTGCATGATAAAAGAGGAGTCTGGATTATTTGATATCATTCACAGGGGATGTCGAACATGACCTTAAAACCCTCTAGAAAATGCTGTCACTGGCTTCAGACTCAGGAAATTTCCCCTCGTAAGAATGACCTAACGTGGTCACTTCCAGAACCTAATTGGTATACTTCGTGTCCCTGAGCAGTGAAGAAATGGAATAACAAACCCAGTTTACGAAGGCAGTTCAGTGTCCGACCTCACGAATTACAGACCAGTCATTATCTATCTTCTCCTGTCTAAAGCCGTGGGGGCTACCGTGTCCAAATACTTGTAAAGATAATTTGAACGTCGCGACTTGCCGTCACCTGTGCAGCGTGGTTTCCGTTCGTATACGAACGTACGACTAGTAAGATGCACATGGGCCAAGAGCTTGGCGGCTGGTGCGAGATTCATGTCCTTCCAACTATTCTGACCGCAGACAGCACGAAACCGTGTTACATGCGAGATCAAAAGTTCACTCCGCTGTTATCTGCCGTGCTAGTACGGGCCTTTTGTTCACGGGAGGCCTATTTTAGCTCGTTGGCGGACCCCATGGATGGCACGAGATGGCCATGGGCCTCATAACTGAACTCAAACAGGGAGTTCGAAAACGATGCACGGTAGAAAAACCCAGTTGCCCTGGTTACCGGGGCCGCATTTATTGTCTTTTATGCCCATTGCTCGTACTGTATAACTCCACTGTAACCGATTACCTTAACCCATTGATATGGCGTAGTTCGAACCCGACCTGTCTAGGCTTGGGCAACCTGGCAGTATCCCAGCCCTCGTGCTTCCTTCGAGTAGCATGGCAGTTAGACGCCGGAAGGGTGCTACAGCTGAACAATTATAGAGAAAAAATAAAAATAAGAAACCCGAACTCCACCTCTCGACTTCCTCTGCCTAGGCTTGGGCAACGTGACAGTATACCAGCCCTCGTACCTCCTTCATGTGGCATGACAGCTAAGCACCGAAAGGGTGCTACAGCTGAACGATTTTTTGTGGGCGAGATGACCCGTGTGGTTAGAGCGCGAATTTACTGACCGGAAGGTCCGTGGTTCGAACCCGACCTCTGCCTCTCGACTACCCGTGTCTAGTCTTGGGCAACCTGACAGTATCCCAGCCCTCGTGCAACCTTCGGGTGGCAGTTAGGCAGTTAGACACCGAAAGGATGCGATAGCTGAACGATTGATATATGAGTTTTCCATTTAAGCGAATATATAGACTGTGGTAGGCCATCCCTAATTAGTCATAAGTCTGTGTAAAATAGTGCACAGAAGTGTTTTTAAATTCATCTGCTAATTCCGACAGCGTCGTGAGAGGACTACGATCATTAGTAAAAGCACGTCACTTTTGGGGGTCAGACTCTTCGCGTTCATGCTTCGATCGGGACTTCGATTTTGTTCGACCCTGAGGGATTCTGATGTTTATAATATAAAACAAACGACGCAAAATACCTGCGGCTGCTCGAACCCAGTGCTTATGGGCTTTACACTTTTCCTGGCATGGTCCTCCAACCAAAATTTCCAGACATTTCTAACCGTATGATAAGCGAACGTGCATTCTGTGTCATATCTTCATATCCAGAACCATCGACCGTTGACAACATGTCAAACAGTGTAATCTGAAAATATTACAACAGTTAAACTTACTGACTTTCGGGAAACTTCCGCCTCTCTCAGCTGGTCCCCAGGGAAATTCATGTCTACCGAGGACGCAATTGACAGACCTGGAGTGTGGGCATCTGCGTGGATGTTACCTTCAACTCTGCGCATCGCACGCACTTTTTGCAGAGTCCGATGGCAAGTCTGGATGAGCTTTCCGAGTACCACCGCAAAAATATGCACTCAAAATAATATCCCTACCAGTAATTTACCGATGTGTTTTTTTTGTCCCTGATCGATAGCCGTGAGTGTAGTCGAAGACAATTGCCATCGGTGGAGAGTCGATCTTTCGCTCCTCTCTTATTTAGAATAGCTGAACAATTTAATGTATAGCGAACTGACTTTCCGTGTGCGTTACGAGCGGCCAGAGTCATGCGCTACCTTCTACCCCAAATCCCAGTTGCCTGTTGGAGGTTCTCAGGGAATGACTAGCTACACGATGTGGTCAATTTATCCCTCTGAAGGGAGTGGCGTCTCTTTTGCAAGCACTGGAACTTCGAGGTCAATTGAATATTGGGTGCAAATAATTAGTTCGTACAGTTAAGCAGCAGTTTTTATTACTAGTGTGTTGGTATCAATGGTGGTGGTGGTGATAGGGATACTATACAGCTACATTAATCGCCGCTGTCGCTCTTCAGGTGATCCCCCAACTCCCATCGGTGGGACGTCAATGTTGCAGAGGGTGAACACTCAAAGAGACCTACACAAGTTTATGTTGAGGAGGAGAATATGTTGGGGTACTTGTATCCCAGGTGCTTTCATCATCTGTTGATTGGGTGGCTGCTGATCTGTTTGTTGAGCTTGACAATAGGCCTAACAGCTAATCTTTGTATCCGAAGTTTTGATGTTATGAGAAAGCACTCGACTCGGTCGGTGGATCCCGGTAACCACGACATAGGTTGTATACGTTGGTGTGAAAAGTCTGGTTGATAAGTGAGATGACTTGGCGGCTTGGCTCACTGGCTTCCAACCTGATGTTACCAGGCTATCGGAGACTTGGTGGAGGACATGAAGAGGTATGGTTCTATTGGCATTGTGACTGCACTTCCTGGACGGGAGCATGCTAAGTTGTCAGATCACTCCGAAACTGTGACCCACAACTTTAGTGTTCCTGGATTTCCAAGGCGCATTTGACTCGGTTGGCTGGTATGTTCTGCTTAACACTCCCACCAAGGAGTGCCCCGGAAAATAGTGAACATAATAGGCTCTTTGTGTTCTCAGACTTCCGGTCGTGTCGGAGTTTATGGTGAGCTCTCCAAAAGCGAGGTGACTCACTGGTAACAGCACGAATTTACTGACCGAGAGGTCCGTGGTTCGAACACAACCTCTGCCTCTCAACTTCCTTTGTCTAGGCTTGGGTAACCTGGCAGTTTCCCAGCCCTCGTGCTCTCTTTGGGTGGCATGGCAGCTATGCACCGAAGGGGCGTTATAGCCGAAGGAATATCTTTTTTCTCCAAAAGATTCCGTACACAATGCGGGACTCCGATTCTCTCGATTCCTATTTGGCTTCGCGGTCGATGAAATCATAAGACGAACGCTGTAAGGTCTACAAAACCCCGGCGTTCAAATAGCCTGTGACGAAATCCTTGTCGATCTGGAGTATGCAGACGTCGTCCTCGTCTTCGAAGAGGAGGAGAAGGCATAGGTGTTTTTGGATGAACTGATCAAATTCATCCCGCCCTTTGGTATGCAATTTGGACCCACAAAGTGTAAGGTCATGTTCCTGGACATGCAGTCACCGAACACGCCACTTACAATCCAGGGAGAGGCACTGGAAGTTGTGAAGCATTTTAGGTATCTTGGAAGTTGTATTAGTTCTGATTGTAGTGTGAAAGATAATGCGCGAATCTGCAAGCACTGGGACACTTTTTCTAATTTGAGCTACCCATGGCGTCAAAGCAGCGTATCCCTGAATCTCAAGGGACGTATGTATCAGGCTACAGTACGAGCAGGTTTGTATGGTTGTGAGACTTGGCCTGTTCGAGCATTGGAACTGAGTCATCTTCAGTTGTTCGACAATCGTTGTCTCAGGACCATAGCTCGTGTGGGTTGGTGTCGATCTCAGTGGCGTTCTTGTTATCAGTTTCTACCCAGATTGCCTGAATGAGTGTTTGGAGGTATAGGCACCTCGGAATGATTGTAGTAAGCCAGCGCTAAGTCCCCATCCCGTCCACCTTTATTTATTTCTGCACAATAAGGCTTTCAAATACATCACAGTTGTACGGCGATGTCATGCTGTCGATGGTGATGATGACGGATAAGATGGGGAGGTCCATTTTGTACCCCTCGCCCACAAAGCTTGAGCATGACGACGGGTAGTCCGTCATTTCTATAGGAATCTCCCGTTTGCATCTTCGAAACAGCTTTCCATAAGTCTTTCAACCTCCGAGACCGTTTATATGTTTTTTCCTATACGCTGGGTTATTCGAATTAGTTGTTCCCATTCGATTTCCGACGGCCGGGTTCGTAGTGTATAGAAGTGGGTCCTCCGAGTAGATAAGGTGTCTTCAGTGTTCGCAAGCCTTTGACTGGTCTAGATGCCTTGAAGAATGTCCAGACATGAGAGTTTGGACTCGTAAACTTCTTCATCTAGTACCCCAAATAATTTCCGAAGACGGCGATCATCGCATTATTGGGTTTGTTCATTCACCACTCACTCAGCCCACACAAGCGTCCCACAAGATTGCTTCGTGCGGTTCGAAATTCCTCGTGGATGGTAGAGCCTAACGTGTTCTCCAGTGTTCTGGTAAAAGGTGCACTCTACTAAACCATGGACAAAAGTCATCATCATCATTGTCAGCTGTAATAACCGCGTACTCGTCGTACAGTGGTTGTAGCTGCCGCATTTTCGTTCACCGATGACGGACGAAAGTATGGTGTTATCCGCTTATATCTTCATTTCGGCTGTCTCCAATGGAGCTTCACGCATGCTTATTTTCATCCCAGTCCACTGTTCATCCACTGACCCCCGTAGAGTTGGTTCGGACAGTTCTGGGTGGCACCTGAAATTTCGTCACGCCTACCGAGTCTTTCGATTTTGAAACATCCAGTACACAGGCAGTTCTTTTGTCCCACGACGATATACTTTTCTCGAGGCGACGCGCACTTTTCCCGCACCAAAGAGTGGTCCGTGCTGCACTAAGCACCACATATGGCTTTGGTAAACAGGATGTCTCTTAAGTCTCTTTGTAGGACAATGACACAGTGAATAAAAGGTCACTGTCCACTTCCCAGATGGGGCCAATGTGATTTTTCTGAAATTGAATCGACAGGAGCCCTAAAACCCTTCCATGAAAAAAGTGATCGCGGGCGGATACTGATTGAATGATGTTCAGTAGCTGAGACATTCTGAATGCATGGACATTCGCAAACGTAGCAAAGTATCCTCATGTGGGTTGAATTCAAACTGCCACCTTTAGATGAGTGAAGTTTGGTCCACTGATAAGTTTTACAGGCAAGTTTCTGGTTACCGTAAACCAGTGTTCCGGTGGACTGTCTTCCTAGGCTCCTCTCCAGAAGGTATATCCGGCTCCAGCTTCAGAGTTTCCCTTGTTCTGCCACTCTTGCCTCACCAAACGTCTCAGTGTCAATACCATACCTTGGTGACAAATGCCGTGCACCGTTCAGGACTGCGTCTATCTGCTTATCCAGTAGGGTCCTGTATCTCACATTCGAAGGTTCAGCTATAGATGGATGCTTCTTAGGCAAGATGTCTCTGTGTTTGACCGGAGTTTTGAAGACCGGATGTCCGAGATGCGGATCTGAAGTATTTATTGATCTTGAGCCTGGCCAGGAAAACGGCAGATAATACGGCATACTAATCACATCGCTCAAGTAAAAACATGTTCGCCCGTTCAGACGTGAGAATTCAGATGCGTCCAGCGTGCGCTGGTGGAATAGTGGTAACACGTCGCCCCGCATTTCAGATGTCCGGAGTTCAAACCCCGGCACGGCCATGGGATATGCACTGCTGATGAGCTCTATCAAGAGCGAAACTCGAGTCCAGTGCTTCCCCCCTTTGGTGTGGATTCACATGAGTGATTACTCCAGGACAGGAGGGCGACTGTTCAAAACGAGAGTGATGTGAAGCTGAACATTACGACTTTATTAAGGGGACCTGGTAGGCGTCAACAACCTAAAGCTCTAACCCAATTGGCTGCGGATGGGGGTTGGTCTAGCCCGGACACAGGGACTAAGCTGTGCGTGTCTCAATCCTAATGCTGTTGCGCACAGCAGGTACGTTTTAAGCCGCACCAGTCCCCGGGTTTTCAGAAGTACTTCGACCGTAATAGTTAGTATGCTTGTGGTCACTCAACCATTGGGTGATCAGAGTGTGCGGTCCTTGATGCCGGTGATATTTTAGACCGCCTTTCCCTCGGGGGAATACAGCATCGTGGCTTTCGTAGATGTGGAACTGCTAATCGTCTGAAGGAGACACCTTACTATTCTCACTGCTACCTCAGCGTGCAGTAAAACCTCATAATATGGATATTCATACTGTCAGGGCCGCCTTTTCTCCTTCTGCTCGACCCTGTTTTTCTTACAAGGTTAAACCCAAGAGAAGTAGCATTTCGATCACCATCATCCTCAGGATCGTCGCATCTCACGGGCCCGACTATAACGGTATGATAATAGCTTTAGGTTTGGATATATATTTTCGTTTCACTGCAAAATGTATTCAGGCCTAACAAGTCAAGTTCCCTTGTTTTGTTACACTGTTGGTTAAACCGCCACGGACTTCTCGAGCAGTTTAACGGTATTACGGTTCATAAAATGAGACAATGTACCTGTTAGATAAAACTGCTTAAATTTCTGCATTCGGTGATGGTAAGTACGTTTCTTTTCTGTTTGCATTTTGTGGCTGGGAAACAGTTTCGTGGGTAGGCCGAGACACTTCGCACTGTTTACGAAATTCATTTAAATGTATGAACATGGTCGTTCCGATTATATTTCATATCCGTCTACACCACATCCCGCAGGTTCACCTTTTTGCTTGACTGCTAAGTGTTGGGCGGTATGGAAGTCGAAAGATGCAAGTCCTACGTCGAATTGTTGCTCCCTGGCTAGATTGTACAACGAACGACTGGCCACTGCTGATCGGTTGTGACATAAGTGTTCAGTTGTGCTTCCTACACACAGTTAACTACAATCCCTAGGCCATTGACTAACAGGCTGTTCAGCGTGGCCTACTGGAAGTGCTACGTTAAACTCGCAAGGTATGGGCCCAAAACCCAGCAATGCCGCCCAAAAGCATAGTTGTTTAATGCCATCAGCAGAGCTATAAATACGACTGGCGCGTTATCTATGGGTCTCTGGGTACTCGGAATGAGGACATCAGCAGCCGCCAATCGCACGGACAAAGGCTATTGCTACGGGCAGTAATTCATCCGGTTCGGTTTATAACTCGATGACTTATGATATGCATGGCTGAAAAAGTTCGTTTTCCGGGTTCCTACCACGTTTGCTCTCCGGTTGTCGTGCGAGGTCATTCACATCAACTGATTCACGGTTTTAGTAAAACTCGAGTAGCCTACAGAGGTCCTGGTCTGGCTAGTTAAGGCAGGTTGACACCCGAATTAGAAAGGATGCAGATATTAGAAATTCGAAACTCAATATTCAGTTGAATTCGGCTTTCTGGTTTTAATCGTATCCTTGATCTACTAATCCTTCTGACACGCTTTTTGTTTTTCAGTCGACATTATGGCTGGATATCCTCCTTATACAACCAGTTTCCATCATCCGTATGCTCAAGTAGCATACCTGCCTGCTGCTGTACCTACCATCGCTCCGGTCAGTCAGTGGATAGAACACACATCGCACGATGGGCGTAAGTACTACTATAACACTGCAACGCAGCAGACTACCTGGGAAAAGCCGCAAGAACTTAAAACTACCAGGGAACTTATACTTTCAAGTTGTCCTTGGAAAGAATTCAAGTCAGAAAACGGGAGGTTATACTACTTTAACGAACAAACAAAACAGTCTGTTTGGGTGAAGCCACAAGAATTAATTGATGCTGAGAATCAGGCAGAAAGTGCCTCATCGACAGCCGCGTCAGACAAAAAGGTCCCCACTTCTTCAGTATTAGGAACTCCATGTACACCGGCCACGCCTAAGGACGAGCCCTCTAAGCCGCCGGAACCTTCAGCTATCGAAAAAGCAATGATGGCCACGTTGAGTTCTTACGACTTGCCGACAACAACGGACAGTATTCCAATACCCCCACCACCTCCAACGGAAGCCCCAGCGGAAACGCAAAATGAGTATGTGGATCGTACCAACGCAGATAATGCCGGGCGGGTGGGCACTACAAGCTCAGGCGGTTCTCCTGCACCGCATCAAGAGTACAAAACTCGTGGGGAGATGGCAGAGGGACTACGTCGCTTATTCCGTGACTGCAACGTACCTGGCTCTGCGACTTGGGAGCAGGCCCTCAAGCTTATTTCCGCCGACCCACGATATTCTCTTTTGAAGACCTTCACAGAAAAGAAACAAATTTTCAATGTCTACAAGACACAACGCTTGAAGGAGGAGCGTGAAGAACAACGCCTACGCGCTAAACAGGCGAAAGAGGACTTAGAACGCTTCCTTCTCCGACATCCAAAACTCCATTCCACCATGTCTTACAGAAAAGTAGAACAGTTGCTCTCAGATGCTCGTGAGTGGACGTCCGTGCCTGATCGAGATAGACGGGAGCTTTTCGAGGACGTGATGCAGTTGATTTCCAAACGTGAACGCGATGAGGCGAAAGTGGTCAGAAAGAGAAATATCAAAGTTTTCCATGAAATACTCAGTGGAATGCCAAATCTTACATTCCGGACGACCTGGAGTGAAGCACAGCAAATGCTTCTGGACAATCCGAAGTACGTGTACTGTTTTTCAGTGTAACCGTAGTTACAGTGATTTTGTGTAGACCTGATGTCATTATATAACTGGTCTATATCTTAGTGACGGACACCCTTAAACGGAAGGCTCATCTATTTTCCTGAATGAAGATGTGCATGTGTGTCCTGTTTATTGCTAGCTTTCAGAAATTCACCTAACCTCGACTAGCTTTGGACAAGCTGTACTTTTTCCCACCCATTCGGACCCCCAGTTGTTCTATGCATGTTGAACAACAGTCATTACTCCGCAGTTTATCGAATCTAGCTTTCTAAATGAATGTGGTCCATTAAATTAGGTGGTCGCAAATCAATTATGTCGTTCTGAAATCCTCCTAGTTCTTAGTGTTTTATGCTCCGTCGGTTCGACGAGTTTTGACATGCCGTTTTCAGAGAGGACCAAGCATACCCTTCCCGAAGCAGACTTTTGGACATCTTTTGCGAGTTCGACAAGGGCTCTGATGTCAGACATTTGGGTCACTTGAAAAGCATAGGCCCTTGTTATTCATTCCTCGAGGTTTTGTTTCTCGGACTTTGCTTCTCTAACTTCGGTAGCACTTTATCGGATATATGATGGTTCACTTCTGGCATTCTATATCCAAAGAATGGTTTCGGGCGACCCATTAATTTCGACCCCAGAACATTCACTCCCTAGCGTTTCCCTCCGTGATGTCTATGTGGTACCGATTTTACTCATAAACCTATTCGACCACTTCACGTGTAGATTTTCTGCGCCATCTTTTGACTGCTGTATGTCCCCTGCAGTTGCATCCTTATTTGGTATTGGATTGATGTAGATCTGTTCATTTAATGAACAATCCGTGTAATAATCCATGCGTGACAAAGCGCTATGATTGGAAGGTAGAATATTTTCTACTCGCACACTGGTGTCAGATCGATCCGTAAGTTCTGGACTGTGTTACACTTCAACCGCTAAACGTTTGCCACTCTGTCAAATGTAGGGAGAGCTGCGTACTCAGTCTGAGTTGACGTTTGTGAGGAAGCTCTCATCCACTTGAGCCATCAAATAATTACGACCTGACAGTACTGAACCCTCTCCTGGACGAGTCCGATCGGTTGTGCAGTAATTCTATCGTTCACAAGAGAGAGGGGGCGAGATGCCAAGTGGTTTGAGCGCGAATTTACTGACCGGAAGATCCGTGGGTCGAATCCGACCTCCGCCACCCGACTTCCCCTGTCTAGGCTTGGGCAACCTGGCAGTATCCCAGCCCGCTTCCTTCCTTTGGGTGGCATGGCAACTAGGCATCGGAAGGGTGCTACAGCTGAACGCTTTCTTTCTTTCACACAAGAAGATTATCCATTGCTGATCGGACTGACCGTCAGTGATCGCACATTCGTAGTCAAACAGTTCGTTCATCTACCTACGACGTTTCGGTGATAAAGTCACGTCCATTGGTGAGCCCGATTATAGAGTTAAGTTTCTTCGGCGTGATTCTCATTCCGGCTATCTATCACTTGTAAATAGTTAGAATGTTTTATCCGAATAGTCATCGCTCATCGCGGGGGCTTGGCAATTACCAAGCCAAATGTCTGGAATGCTGACGGTAAAGAGGTTGCCTTTGTTGACTGCTCCTACATGTCACGGCATGTGGACCTATGTGCATGTGCAACTGTGCCTGAGTAGCTCACGAACCTCGATTTCAGACAATAACTATGAAGGGACGCCTGGAATGACCACTGGTTGTTGTGTTTGGGATCCATAAGACATCTATATATATAT